GTTGTTCATTAGTTCAAGTGGCCTTAATGCATGCACGGCTTTTCAAAATTTCACAAAGCGTTTTGAGATTATTTTGAATGAAATATTGAAGTTTATAATTAAGTGTTTTGGCAGACCACGCCGAGTGGCCCTATGCATTTTTCTAAAGTCGGGTTTTATTCGAACTTTTGCTAACGACAAAAACAGTTTATCTGTCGTCTCTGTCTCCGGGAACTGCGCGTCACAAAAATGAACCGAAAGCCACTTCAGCTCAGTCACTATAAGAAATCGGCTCTGTCTAAAGCCTTTAAATGTCTAAATATTCTGGCTAATAAATGTTATCTGATTATGTAATCCATATGAAAACGAGAGGTACAGAGGATGTACTCAAACATGTAGCCTGTAAGCGCTTCCCAATGAGAAAATGACAAGACAAGGGTGAAAATCTCGCTCTAATTAAATGTAGCAGGCTAAATCGCCCTGAATTAAAATGTAAAAACAGATCAAATAATGCATTTGTCGAAATGTTGCGATATTGTTTCATTTAAGTTCATAATTATTCAATACATGTTATTTAATTTAGCAGCATTACCACGAAGCACCGTGGTTCGATATTTATTTGAATAAAAAATAAAAATAAAAAAACTTAATTCACAAATTGCATGCCTGGTTGAAAGGATCCAAAGATCCCTGTAGACTTTAATATTGAGTTGAACATTTTGTTCATGAAAACAAATTAACATGCGTTTTTTCAGATTATATTTAGTTTTGCTTGGAAAAAGCTGGCCCAAACCAGTTTTATTTCATCAATTACTGAAATAATTAAATATTTAGTAATAAGCTTTTATGACAGAAATATCACTAGGCTACATGTAACTTAAATCATTTAATTCCTTCATTATCAACACTGTCTAGAATAGCGATTTAAGTGTGAATTGTGACTTCTCTTTGTGTTAAATCAGCCTCAGACTCCAATAGCCGGTGGGGGGTTGGAGGGACAGTTCAGTGCTGTATCGAGCGCGCAGGACAATAGGCATAGGTGTTAATGTTCCTCTTTCATATGGAGAGCGAGGGAGACTAAATAAACTTGTTAAAAAGAGATTCAGCGCGAGAGAGGCAAAGAAAAACGCATGTTTTAATTTAATTATGTTGCTTTGGACAATTTTCGTTTTGTAGGCCTACTGTTTTAATTGTTTAATATAGCTGTCATTTCTTTGGCAATACAAATTTAAAATGTCGCAAGAATAAGATTAGCCTAGTGTTTCTTATTTTGCATCGCAAAAGAAATAAACTCTAAACCCGATGCAACCCTGTTTTAAATAAAAAAAACTGTCCCGACACTTTATTTAAACCTTGAAATGTTCGAACTTGGTTTCAAACTTAAGTAATTTTAGTGTTCTTTTACATTACACAATAATTTAGCAGACTAAAGACGTGCTTCTTCATTTTCATTTTCTGATGCAATCGGCTGACAATCTTCCTTCATCAGTTTTTGTCCTTTGTGCAGCGGCTGCGGTTCCAGGAATGTAGCAAATTTATGTTGTAATAATAATTAAACAAAACTCTTGACTTTAAATAAGTAAACAGTTATAAACAGTTAGCTATTTAAGCATCAAGAAGGTTAAACATAAACGCTGTAGGGCAACATCGGTTAACAACATGTATGCTACATTGAGATTCGATCCGAGTCGATTGAAGCTCCTCGAAGCTCGTGTTGTTGCGTTAACCACTGAGCTATCGTCTATACGTCTGTGACTGTTTTTATTGCAATGTTTTACTTTTTCATTATTTATTCAATTTCATTTCAGTAGCCTAATTTCAGTATTGTGATTATGAATTATTTTAACTACGTTTCACTTGTTGAATTCATCTGCTACCAGCTTTCAAACGCTCTGAATCAGTGCGGTGCGGCAGCAGATTACGCATTAGAGAGAATAAACAAACACTTTTCAGAGTCTATGATTGTAGCGCCTCTTGGCGGTAAAAGGCAGCAAATACACCACACATTTTACCGCCGCGGTGGAACGGCTGATGTGGGCATTGTCATGGCTTGCCGACATTTGCGTTTGAATAGCGCGCGTCCTCCGTGGGCGTGTCAGATTAACGCGTAATGAAGTGTAATGAGCTGGGGAAAAAAAATCTGACAGCACTCTCTTTTCATACAGATTACATAAACTGAGAATATTTGTTTTTTATATAAATTACATCATTAAAAAGAAGAGAATTCAAGCTTCATAAAGAAAAACCTCTCGTGCCTGTATGACAAGTATTTGCAGAGTTAGAGTTAATTTTTCGGACGTGTTTCAGAATGGACTGCACTGACAGAGAGAAGGCAAAACTCGCATCATGTTTATTTTTCTTTATTTGACAAAAAGCACAAAACTTTGTTTTTATTGTGAGTATACAGAAAAATAATAGACAATTAACAGGATCGATTGATGTATAACACTTATATGTACGATCAAAATCAACAGAGTATTTTAAGTCTATTTTTCTGCTATGTGAAAAAAAAACGGCAAAACGCGCGGGCGCGTTTCTGGTCCCCAGAGGGTTAAAGTTGCCCATCAGACTGTGTTAAAACGAGTACGAGCAGGGAGGTGGACAGAAGTGTTTGGACCAGACTTTAAAGGATCCTGGAGGTCTCTGTACAAGCCTCCCATTGAGAAGCGTACAGCAGACCTCCAGTGGAGACTTCTTCATGGTGCTATAGCTACAAACAGACACGTGGCACACCTGAATCCAGCAGTGGGTAAAGAATGTCCTTTTTGTGGTATTGAAGAGACAATTGACCACTTATTTATTTTTTGTGTAAGGTTAGGTAGTCTTTTTATTGTTCTAAAAAATTTGTTTGAAGGTTTTGGTAAAGATTTTTCCAATCAGTGTTTTATAAGTGGTCCCCATATCATGAGAGAAGAAAAATATGCATATTAAATTTTCTGTTGGGTATGGCCAAAATGGCAATTTGGAAGACCCGGAAAAATAAGTTATTGGGTATAGGTACAGTAGTAGGGCTGGGCAAAAAAATCGATTTTTCGATTAATCGTTTTTTTAAATGTGGTCGATTCAAAATCGATTCTCAACGGCCACGAATCGATTTTTTCCATATTCAGGGCTCGCGTGCTGTGTCTTCTCACTCTGCACAAGGCAACCGTCAAGCGCCGCAGGCGTCGATACACACTCGTGTTTAGGAGTCGGGACATGATTCACTTGCACAATCGGGCCAGCATTGCATCGTAACTAACGTTTATCATTTTCACGTCTTTTTTCAAGCAATTTTAAACTATCCCGTGCTCGCGCACTCGTGCATGTTTTTCATTGCGTGCAGCCTAAATCCGCCTCACAACAAACAGCTCGCCAGTAACAAAAGTTCTTTTTCGTGGATTATATCGCTTTAACAGTTAAAAACACGCAAAATGATGTCAAAACTCTGGTCTTGATGAGTAACCTCATAAAGACAGTCGGTCGGTTATGTCTTAAATAAGCATAAAACGCGTGTGACAGACAGTATAATGAAACAGTAATGGATCCGTGCACTAGTTCTTAAAGTGAACGCAGCCATATGTGTCTGTCATTAATTTTGTTGTCAAAACAACATAATATAGCATTAATTGTAAGGAATCAGAATTAATATAGCATTAATTGTAAGGAATCAGAATTAATAGCCTATGTATTTAATTCAGTCAGGACTAAAAGACTATCCAGTGTTATTTTACATTGGATTACTTTATTCAGTTTCTGTAGTATTTCTGACCTACCCAAAAACTTTTCTTTTTATGTCTCTTTATTTGTCTTTTTAGGCCTATTCTATTGTATTTATTTGTGCTACTTTTTTCAATTTAATTCAAAGATTGAAATCAAGCTTCCATGTGTTGCATAAACTCTTAACAAAAAAATTACCTCATTGTAAAAACAAACATTTAGGTGAGATCAATGTAATAAAAAATTGTCTAAAAAATGATAACTGAGATTTAGACTGAGATTTGTATTACATCTATATTCATTATAGTCGAATCGAGAATCGAATCAGGAATCGAAATTCGAATCGAGAATCGAAATCGAATCGAGAATCGAAATCGAATCGAATTTGAACATCTGAATCGATACCCAGCCCTATACAGTAGATGCAGAAAATGCTTTTAAAGGCATGGTAACTGCTAGAATTAAAATTGAATACACATATTTTAAATTGGTTAATGATATTCAAAGGTTCTCCGAAATATGGTCTGTGGAAGGAGTTTTGTGTGAGGTTTTGGATGATATGTTGGTTTTAACATTTTAAAGGTGTTTGAAGTATAAATGCTATATGTGTATATTGTATATTTATTGTATTTATTTATGTGAATTTTTGGATTATATGATCAGATAAGGAATATGGTTTCTGGAAAAAGTTAAATGTTATAATAAAGTCGTGTTAAGCCTCTCTCTCTCTCTCTCTCTCTCTCTCTCTCTCTCTCTCTCTCTCTCTCTCTCTCTCTCTCTCTCTCTCTCGCTGTGAGTGTGTATCTGGTGTCTGCTTACAGTCTGGGAATCCTGTACTAGAATTACTAGAATAACTGGATATTGCCATTGCAAACATATTTTCCATTGCTCATAATCTTTAGAATGAATTGGTATCATTCACAATCACAATTGTAATGTTTAGTATTATTTTCAATGTGACATTTTTCTTTTATTTCTAGTCTGGTCTGAAATGTGAAAGACAAGTCTTCCAAAAAGACTAGGACAAAATGTAAAACTACTTCTTGAGTCTAATTGGCCCAAAATTCTAGTATGTTAGTAAGTCTTTCATCACCAGCATTCAGCTGAATCTATCAGACCAAAATAATCTACTAATGTGCACAGAGTCTTAAACTGAAAAACAACCTGAAGATTAGTTAAAAGTTTTTAAAAAATCTTTCATAATAATTTATCTAATCACAGAATAATTTCATTATGCAAATTTATTTACACATATTGCATCGATCCCTGCTATAAAAGTGCAACTATTTGAAGATTTTTTCTTTTCCAACAGTCCATGAAAGATGATGGAAACGGTTTTAGAGCTGCTTATATATATTCTAGAAGACCTGGAACAATACTATCTGAAAAGATTTAGGAGTCTCTTAAAACAACATGAAGCCATTCGAGCTGGTAAACTGGAGAATGCTGATGCCACTGATATAGTGAATATAATGTTAAAGTGTTTTGGAGAAGAAGAAGCTGTGAAGATCACACTGAACATCCTGAGGAAGATTAACCAGAATCAGCTGGCTGAAGAGTTACAGGACAAGTACACTGAAGGTAATAAAGGAAATAATAAAGAACGAGATGCAGCATGGATTCATAGAAATGTGTATAAGAATGCATGATATAAGTTTTTTTTTTTTTTTTTAAAGAAAGTATTATGTTCAAGGCTGCATTTATTTTATCAAAAAAGTTAAAATATTGGGAAATATTATTACAATAAAAAAAACAGTTTTTTATTTAAATATCTTTTTTTCCTGTGATTTTTACAGCTGAATTTTCAGCATCATTACTCCAGTCTCTTCAGTGTCACATGATTCTTCATAAATCATTCTAAGATGCTGATTTGCTGCTCAAGAAACATTTCTGATTATTATAATTGTTAAAAAAACAGTTGTTGATGCCTTTTTCAGGATACTTTAATAAACCTATTAAAGGACCTAAGTCCTATTCTATTTATTTTTCTCCACAGTACAAAAGTCATTAAAAGAAGCTGAGAAAGACGGAAGAAAACAAGGTGAATTAACCTTACACACATCCTTAAAGTGGGACCAAAAATATTTTAGCATGTTTGATGTATACTAGGGGTGAAACAGAGGGTACACAAAGGTTACGGTTCGGTCCGCACCTCGGTATTGAAGTCACAGCTCAGTACGGGTTTGGTACAGCAGGGGGGAGAAAACTAAACCTTGCTTTTTAATTTTTCTTTTCTTTTTTAATTAAAGGCACAAAATGTAGTTTTTCCGCCGCTAGAGGTCAGGTATTCAAAACAAAGGCGTAGCTTGATGACGGCGAGATTTAGCGCGGAATCATGGGAATTGTCTTCACCTCGGCAGCTGCTATAAGACACTTGTCATATTTCTAAATGCTGGGCTTGTGTTGCTAAATGGCACGCAATTAATTTTAAAACATATTGTATGACAGAGAAAATGCTACATTACTGTTACGAAAAATAAAGCTGCGTCTGATGTAACAACTGTTTATGTTAGCCATTTGACAAAATAGTGTTTATCTCTGAGGCATGGTAAAAACATGGTACTCGTGGAAAATCAAGAAAAAAAGCTATTCCAACTATGAGACTAACAGTGTTGAGCTATATAACAATGATTCGTTTTATTGTCTATTAATGTATCCATACAGTTGTTCCCTTGTCTAATAAAACATAATATTTTAAAGCATATTTGGTGTTTCCATGGTTTCTGCAAAATAAAACAGAGGAAATCATGGGTAACGCAGGTATGGGGTTAATGATAGGCGATACAATGACATGGTACATGTCCTGGTTAAAATTGCTTATTTGTCTGGATTTAAATATTCTTGGAAACATCTGGGATAATGTAAGTACACAAGTCAACAAAATATATAACACTATTCTAGTGGATTTGGATATTTTAATTGAAAAAATCTTACATATTGTGCCTTTAAACTTTTTTTTAAACAAATGTGTATGTGTTTAAATAAATAAAATGTATTATAAAATTAAATGATAAATTATTATAATTAAATTATAATTAAAATGTTCTAAAGTATAAAAAAATCTATCTTAGCTATATGGGGAGCCCTTAATTACACATTAATATAATATTAAATGTTACAATTAAAAACAGAGCCCAAATTTTTAAAATATAATCATGTACACAGTAGCTGTCATAAGCTGTTTTCATTAAACATTTATTTAAATATACATTAAATAATAAAGACATTACTAACTGGTTAAGTAAATATAGTGAATAGGCTAATATAATGCATATATAATTCTATGTGAGATATTATTCTCAAGCTGTTTTATTGATATCTTTCCACAGTTGAAACACTTGTTGAGAGATGTAAACATCGATCGATCGTCTCAACTGTAAATTATTTAACATCACATTAATTTACTGGAAAACACCATCAAATTGATGGTCTTTTCAATTGAAAGCTAGGAATTACCATGTAATTTATGGTTAAAAAATGTAAATGGACATACATTTCATGTTATTTACTTGTTTATTGCATTATTTTAGTGTTGTGTGTTACCCTGATGGTGTTTTGTTTTTATGTGAATGATCCTGAGTTTTTTTTTTGTTAACACTTTTCCTTTATATATATATATATATATAATTATTATTATTATTATATGTATATATATATTTTTTTTTTTTTATAACAGATGATTTATGGGTGCAGGGATTCTTGGAAACTCACAAACTTAACATGAAGAAGAAAGTAGAACACATTTTTGAGTGTAAAGAGGAAAATGAAGCACATCTAAAGGATGTTTTCACAGAACTCTTTATTACGGAGGGGGATCTTAAAGAAGTCAATCAAGAACATGAGATTCGGCAGATTGATGACACCATTAAACCCCGTAAATCACAGAACCGTTCAATCAAATGCAATGATGTATTTAGTCTGAACAAAAGTGAAAAGAAAAAGATTGTTCTGACCAAAGGCATCGCTGGCATTGGAAAAACTGTCTTAGTGCACAGGTTCATTCTGGACTGGGCAGAAAAAAAAGCTAATCAGGATATAGACTGTGTTTTCCTGCTTCCATTTCGAAAGATTAACTGCATTAAAGACAGAAATTTCAGTCTGCATGAGTTTCTACAGAGATTTAATCCTGAACTGAAGGACCTGAAAACAGCACAGATACGTAAGATATATAGTTGTAAGCTTGCGTTTATCTTTGATGGACTGGATGAGAGTCGACTCCCTTTGGATTTTGACTGTAAAATTGAAAGCTGTGTTGAGGAGCGATCATCTATAGATCAACTGTTTACAAGTCTGGTAAATGGGACTCTGCTTCCATCAGCTCGCATCTGGGTGACCTCACGACCAGCAGCAGCCAATCAGATCCCTCTTGAGTATGTGTTATTCACGGAAGTGAAAGGATTCACTGACCAGCAGAAGGATGATTATTTCAAAAAGAGAATCAAAGATGAGATTCAGGCCTCCAGAATGATCTCACACATTAAGAAATCTCGTTGTCTCTACATCATGTGTTACATTCCCATGTTCTGTTGGATCATAGCCACTGTTCTTCGGGACATCCCCATTGGTAACGATGCAGAGAACATCAACACAACACTCACTGAAATGTACATCCACTTCCTGCTGATACAAATGAACATGAAGAGCCAGAAGTGTGACAGAAAAACAGAAAGAGAACGAACCAACCTTTTGGATTCCAATAAAACAATGATTTTGAAGTTAGCCAAGCTAGCGTTTGAACAGCTGAAGAAAGAAAACTATGTGTTCTATGTTGAAGATCTAAAAGCATGTGGTATTGAAGTGAGTGAAGACTTTGAGTCCACAGGAATGCTAACTGAGATCTTTCAGCAAGAAGCTGGACTTCATGAGATGAAGGTCTTCTGCTTCGTGCATCTGAGTGTTCAAGAGTTCTTTGCTGCAGTGCATGTGTTTCTCTGCTACCTGAACAAGAACATGGACGAGCTACAGTTTTTCTTTGAAGAAACCCAAAACTGTTTCTCAAAAACTAAAAAACTAAAGAAAAAACTTCTTTCTCCTTTTAAAACAGACAACCCCCACAAAAATATTCTCTTGCATGATTTACTAAAGAAGGCTGTTGAGAAAGCAATTCAAAGTCAGAAAGGACATTTAGACCTATTTTTACGGTTTCTGCTGGGCATTTCACTGAAATCAAATCAGAACCTGCTCCGAGGCCTGATCTCACAAATAGAAGACAGCAAAGACAGCGTCACAGAAACAACCAAACACATTACAGAACAATTACAAAACCGGGATATCTCACCTGAAACTTCAGTAAACCTGTTCTATGGCTTACTGGAGCTCAATGACAAATCATTATATACAGAAATCCAGCGATACTTCAGATCAACTCCAGAAAGAAGACTCTCGTCTTCCATGTGCTCATTGATGGCTTACGTATTGCTGATGTCAAAGACGGTGCTGGATGAGCTCGACCTGAAGATGTACAAGACATCAGGGGGAAGCCAATTGAATCTCCTGCCAGCTGTAAGATGCTGCAGAAAAGCCATGTAAGTAACTTGTTGACTGCTCACATACCTCAGTCACATTCGTTCCAACATACATGACTTTAATATTTAATACTAATGGAAAGCTTGAATATGTTCACAGCAAACATGACATAACCTATAACTGTCAAACAAACACTGTTCCAACAAGATAAACACACAATTTATGTCTTGGTCAAATATCCTGTATTTACAGACTCTCCTCATGTGCACTTGATGACACCTGCTGTGAAACTGTGGCTTTGGCCCTGCAGATACCAAACTCACCCCTGATAGAGCTGGACATGAGTGACAATGAGCTGCAGAATTCAGGAGTGAAGCTGCTCTCTGATGGACTGAAGAGCCCAAACTGTCAGCTGAATACACTGAGGTTTGAGATTCAGATGTGTTTTTATATGTTGATTTAACACAACATATATACAAAGTATGATTACCCAAATCAAACAAATTATTGACTGTAATTATAATGTAACAAAGACAAGACAAGACATTACTGCATCAATAACAAAATGATTGCACCTCACAAGACAAGACCACAAACAGAAATACATAGAAAACATGAATAACCTATTTAAATGCATAAAAATTCTATCACACATCAGGGCTAGTGGAATGGGGTCTGGAGTGTAATATATGGTTATTTCTGATAAACGTAAATAAACATATTATAGATCCAGAAATTCAACCAAATTGTGGTACATTTTTATTAGACTATAAGTATCCCTGTGTTCAAATCCCAGCCTAACTAATGATTTATTTAGAAACCAAGTAAAAACAAGAGCCCAAGAGGAAATAATGGACAGTTACGGTATGTTTGTCAGGTAAAAAAAATCTAATATGATAAATAAATTAAATACAGAAAATGAGAAATCCCCTGCCAGATTTGCTTCTGTCAATTGTCTTTAGTGTGAAATGTGGCTGGTTAGTATATAGTAAAATAAAAGAGAAGCTGTAAGGTTTATCATGTTATTTGTTCTCAATTTAAGATTAAGGTGTGAAGCCATTTAAATAAAAATGGATGTGTAATTATTATCCTCTTTTTAATTATGCTGTTCAGGTTGGCAAATTGTAATCTCACTGATCAGTGCTGTGAAATCAGTCTGGCATCAGTTCTACAATCATCAAACTCCCATCTGATAGAGCTGGACATGAGTGGCAATGAGTTGTATGATTCAGGGGTGAAGCTGCTCTCTGATGGACTGAACAGCCCAAACTGTCAGCTGAAGAAACTGAGGTTTGAGATTCAATAATTCATACAGTAGTCAAATCCATGAAGCGTCTGCTAGTAGATCTAAGGTAAACTAAGCTGCTTTCAATGAGTGCTGTGCAGTGATATACACAGTAGCAGCTGAACAGCTGTTTCACATCACAGCTGTTACATGATCACCACTGGAACACTGGGTTGACCAATCAGAAGGCAGTATCAGAATTATAAGTTTATGCGTTGAAATTGTTTTCTTATAAAACAGATTGTTCCGTTTCTTGATTATGACTGACTGATTCTTGTTCAAAGTTAAAATTAAAATACTCTGATAAAAAAAACAATGGTTCTCAACAGTCCTGGGGCCCCACTGCTCTGCACATTTTGTGTTTTTCTCTTATCTGACACACTCAGTTCAGTTTATAGCAATAGCAACTTTATTTATATAGCAAAATTAATACAACTGTCGTGATGTGGTTTTGTGTCCTGTCATGTTTAGTGGTTCCCTGTCTTGTCATTAGTTTTCCCAGGTGTTTCCCATTTACCACGCCCCCTTGTTATCCTATCTAGCTCGTGTGTCCCTGATTATTTAAGCCCTGTGTTTCAGCGTTGTCTTTGTGAGTTCTTGTTTAATGTTTACGTGTATGTTGGTTTTTCTTGTATCCTGTTCCCGAGTCCTGTATCCAAGTTTAGTTTGTTAAATAAAGCGTGTGCTGCATTTGGATCCTGCTTCATCTCTGCCTCAACCGCACCACGTTACAGAAGAACTCACCGCATCGTGATCCAGCAGCCATGCCTTTCTGGAGTCCAGACGTCCAGATTCTCCGTCTCCGTCAAGAGAATCGCGCCATCGAGGAATATGTCGCAGAATTCCTTGAACTGGCACATCTCGCGCAAATGAGCACCCAGTGCTTGTTGATCTTCTTCCGCGGGGGATTATCGGAACCACTCCGGTCTCTGATGCCCGAACCTGATCCGCACGGGTCTTTAGAGTGGTATATCGACCTGGCCCTGTTGTGGAGTGGCTCTTCGTTTACCGTGGGTGTGGAGAAGCTGCAAAAGCCTGCGCTTCACGTCAACCCGTTCGCGCCCGCGCTCCACAAGCCTGCAATTCACGTCTGCCCAGTCGAGCCCGCGCTTCACTTCAGCCCTGCCGAGACCACGCTCCACAAGCCTGCAATTCACGTCTGTCCAGCCGAAACCCGCGCTTCACGTGAGCCAAGTCGAGCCTGCTTTTCACGACATGCCTGAGCTTCTTCCCGCCGAGACCGACATGCCTGAATTTCTGTCTTCCGAGCCCGCGACTAACGTCTGCCCAGCCGAACCCGCAGTTCACGAGTCAAGTCCCGAGTCAAGTGAGCCGAGTGCCGAGTCAAATGAGCCGAGTGCCGAGTCAAGTGAGCCGAGTGCCGAGTCAAGTGAATCAAGTGCCATGACAAGTGAATCAAGTGAATCGAGTGAGTCGAGTGCCAAGTCAAGGGAGTTAAGTGTTGCCGAGACAAGTGAGTCAAGTGCCGAATCTAACCAAGTGAGTGAATCTTCCCAAGTGAGAGTATCAAGCCCAGTGACTCGCCGTCGCAGGAGGAGAAGGAGGACTCGTTTGGTTCGCCAGGCTCCGGTGGGCGTTCCCAGACTCCTCGCCCTGCCGGTCCCGCCTGTGCGCCTCGCCCTGCCGGCCCCGCCTCTGCGCCACGCCCTGCCGGTCCCGTCTCTACTCTTCGCCCTGCCAATGTCTCTCAAGCTCCATGAGACTGTCCCCAGAGTCCGTTGCCAGCCCGGAGGTTGTCCCCCTAGGTTCTCCCAAGTATTTTTTTTTGGGGGGGGGGGGGGGGGGGGGCAGTAGGAGGTCCCACGAGAGGGTCATGGAGGCAGCGCTGACATGGACCTTGTCGGCGCTATCTCCTCCTGAGCCTCCCATGCCCTGGTCCCCTGCCAAGCGTGCCCCGCCCTGGCCGCCGTCACGTCCTGCTCCGCCCTGGCCTGCTCCGCCCTGGTCACCGGCCCAGTCTGGTCCGCCCACGCTCTGCGGCCCAGGCCCGCCTTGCCTAGGTCCCCTTTCCCCTGCATGGGCCTGGCCCCCCATCCCTCCCCCAAGACCGCCCTCCTGGACTTTTTTGTTTGTTTTATTGGGCTTCAGGAGCCGCCCTTAAGGGGGGGGGGTTATGTCGTGATGTGGTTTTGTGTCCTGTCATGTTTAGTGGTTCCCTGTCTTGTCATTAGTTTTCCCAGGTGTTTCCCATTTACCACGCCCCCTTGTTATCTTATCTAGCTCGTGTGTCCCTGATTATTTAAGCCCTGTGTTTCAGCCTTGTCTTTGTGAGTTCTTGTTTAATGTTTACGTGTATGTTGGTTGTTCTTGTTTCCTGTTCCCGAGTCCTGTATCCAAGTTTAGTTTGTTAAATAAAGCGTGTGCTGCATTTGGGTCCTGCTTCATCTCTGCCTCAACCGCACCACGTTACAACAACACAAGTTAACCAATGTGTTTTACAATGTCACACAGCAAAAAAATAGCTCTGAATCTGATTCAGGTGTGTTAAATAAGATGTGAAGAAGGTGCAGAATGGTGGGTCTCAGCACCGGAGTTGAGAACAACTGCTCTAAAAACACACAACTGTGACCTTGCTACATCAGTATTACTGCGCCAAGCATGCTTTCCACTGTGTCTGTGTGTTGCATGGCATTCATTCTTCCAAACATTGCTGAAGAACTACGTTGGTTGGTGGAAGAATCATTATTTATCAATAATTTTTATTTTTTTTATTTTTTATTTAATGAAACCTTGGCAGGTAGTAACCATTTTATAAAAGCAATAATCCAGTGAAACCATGATTAACAGTGATTTTAGGACAGTTAAACTGTAAAGCATGGCTTCTTGGGGCTTATTGCTGTAGTATATTCTTTCAGATGTGTTGCATGATTTTGCATGATGATGTTTGCGATTTTGCAACAACACATGGCATATTTCACCATGTCATTATTTATTTAACAAAAACTAGGCCAAAATGGAAAAGCCATGGGTGACAAACTAAGTACACCCTTACTGCTTCATAGGAATTAAAAGGGTAAATAGTAGTCAGGCGCTGCTAATCAAATGTCTTTGATAAATTAATCATCAGCAAATGTGTTCGCTTCTATAAAAGCAGAAGTTTTAGCAGTTTGCTGGTCTGGATCATTCAGGTGTGTGTTAAAACAATGCCAAGGAGGAAATATATGATCTTAGAGAAGAAATAGTTGCTGCCATCAATCTGAAAAGGGTTATACGCCCATTTACAAACAATTTGAAGGCCATTATTCTACAGTAAGGAAGATTATTCACAAGAGGAAAAAATTCAAGCCAGTCGCAAATCTTCCCAGGAGTGGATGGCCCAGCAAATTTACCCCAAGGTCAGACCATGCAATGCTCAGAGAATCGCAAAACACCAAACAACTACACCTCAGACTCTATAGGCCTCAGTTAACATGTTAAACGTTTAAGTTCATGGCAGAACAATTAGAAAAACACGGGACAAGTATGACATATTTGGAAGGGTTGCCAGGAAAAATCTTATCTCTAAAAAGAACACAGCAGCAGAGTTCAGCTAAACTCAGCTGCTGGCTAAAGCTGGCTGAAATTGGGACATGCAACAGGACAATGATCCTAAGCACACCAGCAAATCTACAACAGAATGGTTGAAAAAGAAAAGAATCAAGGTGTTGCACTGGCCTAGTCAAAGTCCAGACCTCAACCCTACTGAAATGTTGTGGCAGGACCTTAAGAGAGCTGTGCAAAAACAAATGTCCGCAATCCTCAATGAACTAAAGCAACATTGTAAAGAAGAGCAGGCCAAAATTCCTCCAGAACAATGCAAGAGGCTGATACTGTCATACAGAAAAAGATTCCTTCAATTTATTGCTCCTAAAAGTGGCTCTACAAGCAATTGTGTAATAGGGTGTAGTTAGTTTGTCACCCTTGGCTTTTCCATTTTGGCTTTATTTTTGTTAAATGTAATATGTAATTTGTTGTTGTTCATCTGAGGTTGTATTTACCTAATTTTAAGACCGTCTAAAAACCAGATGATTTCTATTATGTTCTGATACATAAAACCATAAAATACTAAAGGGTGTCCTTTTTTTTACTGTAAATCTCATCTGTGGAAGGCATAGGACCATAAAATGTTTGTCCAATCATTGCATTCGGTTCGAATGATACTGCCTGTCAGCGTATATTTCCATATACATTCCTCCGTGCCCCCTGCTCGCGCAGACATCACACGTGTTTCATGCTATGTTAGACAGACGTCAGCAGTGTTGGGTATGTTGCTTAAAAAAATTAATTACTTGTAGTTACTAGTAGACAAAATAATAATAAAAAAAACGTTTTAAAAAAAGTTAGTTCATGTTAACTATTGTGTAGGATAGTGTTAATGGCTACACTACCTTATTAAATTGATCCAGGTACATTAAACATAAAATGCTTCCATGGAGAGACTGCCCTAGAATAGCATGCACTTTCTCAAATAATCCTAAACTAACAGTGGCCATCCCGAGGAGAGCTCAAACGTGAGCTGCTCAAAAATTTGTCAATGAGAGCTAATTTTGGTATACTAAATTGGTATACTTAAAGTCTGCTAAATTGGAACAAATAAATTGTGTACTTAATGCACTTTAGTTATCCGGAAATAGTGCTAAGGTCCAACTAAAGATATATACTTAATTATATACAGTACTTAAATATTTGATTGTGCTGAAGTGGAAATATTGCAAGTATACTTTAGGGACACTTTAAATATTCTGCATTTAAAGAATGATATTATACAGAGATCATACTATCCTTACTAATATAATTACAATAAAGTCTACTTTAAATAAAGTTTAATTATATCAATAAGTCTCAAGCGACAAGTCAGTAAATAGGTTAATGGTTTTGTTTTATACTTAGTATGAAATAAATGTATCTTAAATAAATTTTGGTTTAGGTTTTTCACAAGGGGAGTGCGCTGCATATCTATGAAGGAAAACTGTGAGGGCGTGACTGACAGCGCACATCGTCTCCATTAATTTGTGCATGTATTAATTTAGTGTTGAAATATTTTAAATCACCGAATCCCTATCGAATCATGATTAATTCGATTCTTGACATCATTCACTATTCAAAACAATTATTCACGATTCAAAAATAGACAATTCATGATTAATGCATATGCAAAGTCTGGATTTGTAATCGATGCATCGAGAAAATAATAATTTCACCCCTATTTATCATTCATTATAATAAGTTAGGATTAATTATTATTAAATTGATGTGTAATTATTCTGTTTTCTTTTATTCTATTCAGTTTGAAAGACTGTTATCTCACTGGTCAGTGCTGTGAATTTGTGGCATCACTTCTCCAATCATCAAACTCCCATTTGATAGAGCTGGACATGAGTGGCAATAAGTTGCATGATTCTGGAGTGAAGCTGCTCTCTGATGGACAAAAGAGCCCAAACTGTCAGCTAAAGATACTGAGGTATAAGATTCATTTATTCTTTATGCTGATGCATTATATAATTTATGACTATAAATTTAATGATTAATAGGTTATTTATTCTTTCTTTTTTCAATTTAGTTTTGGCTTAGATACAATGAGAATTTTTAGATACAATGAGAATTTTTAGATACAATGAGAATTTTTAGATGCAATAGATAATCGACAGGAAGCTAAGTGGAAGAGAGAGAGGGGGACAGGATCGGAAAAGGTCCCCTAGCCGTAACTCGAACTCAGGTTGCCCGAAGCTCAATCCGTCTGAGTTTTGCTATGTTTAGTATTTAGTTTTGGTTGATATACAATGAGAATTTTCAGATGCAATAGATAATCAACAGGAAGCTAAGTGGAAGAGAGAGAGGGGGACGGGATCGGAAAAGGTCCCCGAGCCGGGACTTGAACTCAGGTTGCCCGAAGCTCAATCTGTCTCAGTTTTGCTATGTTTAGTAGATTCTATGGATTCACATTTATAGATTGCTCGATCAGGGGTTACTAAATTTAGCCGATCTCACACACCAATCACAATTTGATGAGATAAAACCATATATAGTTACCACCGACTTGCATGTAAACAGTACACAGATTAGGCTTTTGCACCACGTTCTGCTTTGTAACTTAAAACATTAGTAAACCATAGTAAATCATACATCATTATTTAGAGTAGTTTGTCTTGATTCAAACGAGCCAACACACAACATAAAATAATGCATAGCGACAACATCCTGCATGGCTTAAGCTATAGGACTTACGAGATCTGATTGCGCCACAATCCTGACGCAGTGTTTTCCAAAGTAATTTTAAAGTTCAACCAATGGAAACCGGATCTCAATTATTGTTGGGTTTGGACGATGGGTTGAGACCAATCGGACAATCGGTTTTACAGCTGGAGCGCACTTTTATTGGATCGATCATTTAGATTGGCAGGTCATGATTTGCTGTGCACCATAGAATAGGAGCGCACAGCTGAAACAGTTCTGGAACATAATCCACAACTAAACCAAACTTTATTTTATTACCTGTATTATAACTTTCTAATAGCCATCATGCCAAGCATGAATAACCAAACAAATCAATAAATTGCATAATTTTTTTCTGGGGTTTTCTCAGCAGTGTTAACATAAGAACCTCCAAAAGTTACTAAAAGTAAGCCATTACATTTAAGTATGTCACTTGAAATCATGTGAAATCATTATAAATGCTTTTAGAGTTTAAGGGTTTTAAAGTGACAGCCAACAGAGATCTTACATATCACTTGTATAAAACTTGAACAATTGGGATTGGTATCACCCAATCATAATGACAAGAGCAGGTAGTCGCTATCGGCTACTTCATTTACTCAGAACCTAAACCCCAAACTTACTCAAACATGACTATTTCCTTCAGGAGATACAAATCTATGTACTTGTGATCCGAACCATATTCACCATTTTCTATTTATGAAATCAGAGAGATTCCACTTTTATCAATATATATTAAATGGAAGTGTAATTATTCTTTTTATCATTATTCTGTTCAGATTGGCTGGCTGTAGACTCACTGGTCAGTGCTGTGGATATGTGGCATCAGTTCTACAATCCTCAAACTCCCGTCTGATAGAGCTGGACATGAGGGACAATGGCCTGCAGGATTCAGGAGTGAAGCTGCTCTCTGATGGACTGAAGAGCCCAAACTGTCAGCTGAAGAAACTGAGGTTTACGGTTAATTCAATTCGTATATTGAAGCATTATACATTTACTATATATTTAATGTTAGTAGGCTCTTTAATGTATGCATTTTGAAATTCATGTCATCTTCTCTAAAAAGAAGAATATTGTTGTGCAAAAACAATTTGTCGAGTGTCAACAGCTTAGTTAATGGCGCAGTTGATGCTCGATGCTCGTTGATTTACTCAGAACCTAAAACCAAAACTTGAACATGGCTATTTCCTCCAGGAGATACAAATCTATTTGCTTATGATCCTCAGTATCTGGTAGATGGCTTTATAGATCATTTTCTTTTTATGAAATCAAAGAGATTCCACTTTTATCAGTATATATTAAATGCAAGTGTAATTATTCTTTTTTATTATTATTCTGTTCAGATTGGCAGGCTGTATACTCACTTGTCAGTGCTGTGAATATGTGGCATCAGTTCTACAATCTTCAAACTCCTGTCTGAAAGAGCTGGACATGAGTGTCAATTCCCTGTGTGATTCGGGTGTGAAACTGCTCTCTGATGGACTGAAGAGCCCAAACTGTCAGCTGGAGATACTGGGGTTTGAGAATCAAATGTGTTTATGTTTGTTGATTTGATACACATAAGGTATGATTACAGAAACCAACACATTATTGAATTTAATTTTCTTATTAATGAGTTATCAACGGACTGTTTTTTAATATTACCCAAGTTGCAATTGCATTAAACATTATATGGCAAGACTAAAAATTAATAGGAATAGAAAACATAAATTACATATTTAAATAAAGACAAATTGAGGAACCAAAATGTTTTATTATTAATCTATAACTTGCATTAAATGCAGTTTACAACTAGCTAAATGTTTGATTACCTCATTCAGGTCAAAATATTGAACAAGCTTTTGTTGTGCGTTGGTTTTACAGACAGAGATTAAGCCAGAATTAGGCCTCAGTAAAATTAGTAAATTTAAGTAGCTTTTTGAAATGTGCCATAAAAACGTACTAGTGTGCATCTTAAGAAAAATCAATGGTACTGACATATTTTAAGATATGTCAGTGCAAGTTACTTCCAGTTAAGACAACTCAAACATGCATTTTAGTTTGGAATTAGACTTAAGCCTTGTCTGTGAAGCCGGGCACTAATGTAACAGATATCTTCGTTGTTTCTGTGTGTCTATGTAGATTATCTAACTGTGAGATCACAGATGAAGGCTGCTGTTTTTTGGCTTCAGCTCTGCGTTCAAACCCCCCACACCTGAGAGAGCTGGATCTTAGCGACAATCGCACGGGAGAATCAGGAGGCAAGATGCTCTCTGATCTACGGAATGATCCAAACTGCACACTGAACAAACTTAAGTATGTTGAGCAATAAGATTCATTCTGTCCTGCGAATTTGTATGTCAGCTTAACCAAGTGTAAAGTGGAGTAAAAGGCCATTCAAAAGAGCCTGTAGAGCTGCAAGATATGGAGGAAAATAATGTTTATTTAAGATATTTTCTTCTCAGTGAAACATTCTTCAAGATATCTTTTGTGTTTGGCAGATGAAGATCATACAAGTTTGATTATATTTAGGTGAATATTTTAACATTTGGCTGAACTATCTACTAATTTAACAAAGGGATTAGTCAGGTTTTAGTTGGCTGAAAAATCAGTGGATTGTTTCTTTGATTAAATAATTGTACTATTTGGTTTGGTAAGAAGTTCAAATATAGCCATGCCGCTTGTGCTTGGACTGATGGTTTGTCATATTTACTCTCTGGGTAGCTACACGTGATCTACTGTACAGGTTTTACATGGCACTTTTGAGTGTTCTTTTTGGCGTTTAAAACCAAAATACACTCATAAAAGGGATCATTCTGATGAACTCAGGGTTTTTTCATCTGTCTGCACTATTTCTTATAAACAAGCATTAGACAGACTAATTATAATTAATTATAAATAGTTTATAGTTTTAGAATTGACTGTAGCAGAATTAATAGTACAATTATTTAATCAGTTGTTCGTCCAACAAACAGACAGCTTAATCAATTATCAATTTTCTTAAATAAATTATCTTCCTGGCCAAGTTTGAGCTCAGGTGCATCCTGTTTCCACTGATAATCCTTGAGATGCTTCTACAACTTGATTGGAGTCCACCTGTGGTAAATTAATTTGATTGGACATGATTTGGAAAGGCACACACCTGTCTATATAAGGTCCCACAGTTGACAGTGCATGTCAGAGCACAAACCAAGCCATGAAATCCAAGGATTTGTCTGTAGACCTCTGAGACAGGATTGTATCGAGGAACAGATCTGCGGAAGGGTACATGTTTATGTTTGTGTGGGTGGGTTTAGTTTGCTTTATTTTAGTCTAACAAAGCCTCCCTTTGTTACATTCATAAATGCATTTGATTAAATAAAAATATTTATTTCTAGAATGCAACAACTTTTTAAATTTTGGCTTGTTTTTTGGTAACATTTTTGGGTAATATTAGCTTTTTTATAAAAAATAATAAATTATATGTTATGCCTTTATTAAGATAACTAAGTAGACGTGTGTGTTTTGCAGGGGGGTTCATGGGAGAGATTCTTATGACTATGACACAGTAGATCTGTTGTTTTGTGATGTTAAATGTTGTTTATTCTTAGGTTAACACCTTTGTGGTCTCACACTGGATAAAAAACACAGCAAACACTTGTCTCATTCTGTCTGAGGAGAACATCAGTTCTATCATCATCTTTCAGAGAGATTTGATGAGGATCGTCAGATTCTGTGTAGGCCGATTGGAATCACAGGTTGGCTGAAATATCACTTGCATATAAAACAATCAGCAGGAAGAAAACAAATAGACACTAAATTTGAATTTAACTATAATTTTCTTTTTTCCACTCTGGTTATTGTCTTTTTTTCTTTTTTTGTTATTATTATTATTTTTTAGTAGTTCATAGATGATGTGATCTTTTATTCAGATTTAGGTAAACACAATCTAAAGTCTGTAAGATTCTGAAATTATTACTAATGAAAGTGATGAAAAGAATATGTAAATTAGCTAAACAAATTTAGCATTTGTCATCTAAAAATGATCTTGGTAGAAATCTAATAATCCAGTTTTGAAAATAACAGTCTTAATGAATTTAGTATGATCTATTCTGTAGCATTAGTATCAGTGGGCAATGCTCTCCTATTTCCAGTGGACTAATAAAGTATCTGAACTGGACCATTTGGCAAGTAAGGGTTCGGATGGTAGTATTTTTAATTAAGAGATCATTTGAGGATACAATATTCTGTTAGAATAAAAGCTAATAGTCCCTGTTTTTGGGCTGGATATATTTCATTTTGACAATCACACACTCATATCCACACAGACTGCGTTTAATGCCCTGAACAGAGATATAATTGGAAGTGAATCAGTGTAAAGTGTCTGCATTCGTTGTGTATTTTTTTTTTTTCCTTCATCAAGATTATATGGTCTATATGTTACTTTTTTGCTATTCTTTCAGGGATGAAAAACTTTATAAATGCTTTTATATCCAATGTCATTCTTGATCTAAATGAACAGCATTTCTTTGAAATAAGAACATTTTAAATGTATTTACTGTCACTTTTGATCAATTTAAGGCATCCTTGATGAATAAATGTATTCTCTCTTTTGAAAGGCAGTAATTTTTATTCTATGTAATAATACATCAGTCTTTAAGTGTAGCATCCTGTTTGATGAAATGAGCTCTTTCATCATTGAATGGCTTTGAAACAATGCAATCTTTATTCACATGTAACTATTTTGTTTCAAGGGAAGAACTCTATAAATAGATCTATGTTGTACTGTAAGTACATCATCCTTTATAATAAATACAAACAATATAGTGTCAAGCAGAAATTACAGGCAAAAGCACAGCACCAGACACACTGTCAGTCATGACAATCCAGAGTCGCAGAACTAAGTAAGTTTAGAGCTTTATTAATTCCCATGGGGCAATTAGTTTAAACTATCATGGTCCTTCACATATCACACTTAACACATACATTCAAAACTACATAAAATAAATAAGGGGGAGAGGAAAAAAAATATTTTAAGATAATTTGTTCAGAGGTTGTGAGCCATTATTTACAAGATCACCCTTAATTGCATGGTGGGAATGACTTTTACCAAGCACTTTATAGCCTTCTTGCATTGAATTCAGCCTGTATATCACTCCTGTAAACCTCACAAAGGGAACATCTGTGTTGAATCAGTCACCTCAGAAACTCCAGTATAATTACAGGACAGATTCAGCTCAAACTCATCCTCAGGAAGACTGAAATCCTCTTCCTCCCAGCTCTTCTGCCCCTTTCAACCTTCCCAGTCTCCTCTCATATTCTTTTTCTCATGGTCTGTAGAAATGCAGGAGTTGATCTGGACTGCCGACTGAGCTTCACTGATTGAATTACTCTGACTACAGAGTCCTGTGTTCTGTCTCAGTTATGAAATCAAGTTCTTAATTCATTCTCACCTGCTTCATGTTCAGTCTATAGTCATCTCTCACTTGTGGCTGATATATGAATCTTTGCATTCAGCAATAAGCTGCTGTCTGACCTCTTTAAGTTCTCATGCTCTTGTCTGTTGAAGGAACATTTATATTTTGATCTATTAAGTGATTTTGGTCTATCCATGGTTCAGCGTGGCAATAGAAAGCTAAACAACAAGAAGGGTACCGGTGTGTGTGTGTGTATATATATATATATATATATAAATTACTGGGACCCATCAGACCCACTTTAACTTTGTAGAAAACTTTGGCACACTGATAGAGGATAGTCTAAATTGTCACCATAGCAAATTTGGAGTCTCTACTCAATTCCTCTATCGCCACCATCTGTCCAAAGTTTCACTCATGTTTATGTTAATAACTTTTGAACTGTAAGGGCTAGAAACAAAATTCGATGCTCAAGACGATCTGAATGCACACTATGATGAAAATTGGTCCGACATTTTGAATTCTCTGAAAAAACTACTTTTTCAAACTCCTCCTAGGCCGTTGCTCTGATTTTCACGAAAATTGAACCAGATCATCCTCAGACCATACCAAGTTATGGAATTCATGTCGATTCGTCAAACCATTCTCGAATAACTAATTTTATGTAGTGCTTGCAAAAACAGACATAAGGCTGTATCTTCGAAACTTTATCATATTCAGACCAAACTTGGTACATGTCATCACAAACATGACTTGAGGCTACATACTGTGTTTCGGCGCAGCGCCCCCTACAAGCCCGGAGATGCGAAAATTTATATTTTTGCTTATAACTTCTGAACAGTTTGTCCAAAAATCATAAAAGTGGTCTTGTTAGATTCAGGATGTCATGCCGAGCTGATATCCAATATTTCCATATCGACCATTTTAGGTGATCGTCATCAGTACGATGCCCTGAAGGAGCCATGTAAAGTTTCGAACCAGCACCACCTAGTGGTAAAAATCCAAATGATTTAAACTCTGGGTGTGTTTGACTTAATTTCACTTATTCTCATTCTCTTAGGTTCCTGAATCCTTGCCGAGTCCAACGATACCAAACATGCTAGGTTTCGCCTTACAATTTGTGTAGCGTTGTGATTTAGCGCTTAAAAAACATTTGCCAATATCTTCGAAACCGTTAGAGACTGTACCACCGTAGGAAATTTGGAAACATAGGTCGTTGGTTGTACACTGATGCCCAAATGACAAAATATTAATAGTGAGTGGCAATTAAATGCCAACAAAGTCAGGTGTGGGTCATTTTTTATGTGTTTATACATATAAATGACGATAACTCCAAAACAAAATGAGATATTTTCATTACATTTGACACACACATGTATGGGCTCACTCTGAGAACACAAAAAAATAATGGGATTGTGCCTCTTGTTGGCACTATAGTAGAACAATACATGAAATTGCCATTGACTTCAACACAGTATATTAAATATGTGATATAAAATGCTTGACTTTATGAACGCATTAGAGTATCGGTACGAACCGCGGTTTGAGTCATCGGCACCATGCCCACGTTTTGGGGCAGCACCACCTTGTGGTAAAAAAGTTATAACAAAATTTTAAAAAATGCTAATGACTTTTGAATAAATTTGCCTATTTGACACTTCTGAAGGCAATGGGAAGACCATAAGTAAGTCCTCGCATTTTAATTTCTGTATATTTCATGAAATTGTAACTATGGCTGAGAACGTCAATCTCAGCATACTGTCCTGTTACCTACATTTTTTCTTAGATTTAATTTGTATATTATAAAAATATTAACTTTTGGTAAGTCACTAGAAATTGCTCAGTGTCCTCATGCTATTAGCATATGCTATGTGGCCATATGCCATGTATTTAATAACATTTTGCTTAAAAAACTCAATCCTGTTACTTTCAGTCCTGATACTTAGGCCTATATATTTAAAAAATAAAAAAAATAACAGGAGTGGGTTAAAGTAACAGGAGTGAGCAGAGTCCTCTGTTTTGTTGATTTAATACTGTAAATATTAGTTGATACAATACTATTCACCTGAATTTTGAGTTTTAGGTTGCAATTACTTATATTGTAAACATTAGCATTAGTTATATTACACCACTGCATCCAGGTTAATGGGAGAATCCTGTTACCAGTGCTGTCTTAACCAGGACACCTACACACAGGATGGCTCCTATGTCTGAACTGCTGCAAGTTAGAAAATTTCTCTTGAACAGATATAAACACAGTGGACATGAAGCATAGACAGAACAGAGAGCTAATGTTAAATACAAATAATGTTTCCCCATTGAGAGAGATGAGCCAGATGAGAGAAACATCCCAAGGGCTAACAAGGCTTTAATACAAGGCAAACAAGGGCCAGAGCTTATAAAAGCTGTTTGAGGTGTATTAATTAAGATATTTTTGGATAATTAGGTGTCTTACAGTGAAATATTGTGTTTGTAGACACTGTACTAATGACAGTGTTTTAGTGCTAACACACTCATGCACTCCTGACTTCCTCTAGTGTGTCTAACTATGGATGCAGAAAGATGGAAATCTACCATAAGTTTACATAGCTAATGTGCATTAATATGCATTTCCATCCATGTTTCCTGGAGCAGGTGTTCAAACAGCCTGATGAATAATGAGATCTTTGCTGGTCTCCATCCAGATTTTAATATAATGTTTGCTAATATACAGCCGTCTCAAATCTACCAATGCCCACCTTTAGTATTATCTGAACTGTCCTATATTAGCATACGCTTCTAGAACAATTTACATTGAACAAAATTATAACTACAACACTTTTGGTTTTGCCCCCATTTTTCAAGAGCCGAAGTTGGTAACGCTTTAGATTACAGCCCGAAAAGAACTGCGTAATTAAAGCAATTTTACAGCGTAACCTTCGGTAATTATAGTGTACCTATATTGTACTTACAATATAAGTATAAGAGAACAATATTTTAAGTTTGGGGAATAAAGGGGTAACAACCAGGAGAATTATTTATACTGTAAGTATTAAGGGTAACTTATTCTACTATTATGATATAACAATCTTACATTTGGGATCAATTTAGCAAGAACATACACTGCGTACCTTTTTGAAATAATGGTGAACCAGTACATACTGTATAGGCTTTATAAATGCATAGATGTACCCTGTAATTTTTAAAATGTAATCTTTTTAACAAAAGTGCACTGAAAACGAAAACTATTGCAACTTTTGCTTAAATATTGTGGAAAGATACTCTTGTTTCATGTAGCTTGTTACCCCCTTGTTCGATGTAGTTACAGGGTAAGTGTGACATTGCGGGCTGTAAATTAAAGTGGTGCTTGTTACCCTCTTGT